ACATTTATGTTTTCGTGTTATAATTTGTGTTCATTCTATAAATGAAAGAGGCATAATTTATATTTATTTCCTAATTTTTATGGTGGTTATGAGATTGGTCAAATCTACCAACCACGTAGAGAGATTTATTACTGAAAATAACAGATAAAATATAAATTTTTTGTTATGAAACATTTGATAAGTATCTCAACATTATAAATATTTCGCTTGTGAAATTTCAAAATTTTCTGATGCTTAAAAGTATCTTTAATCTTAAAATAAATATTACTTTGCATGATAGACAGAGAACATGCAAAAAGAAAAAATAGACATGAGAAAAACATTGCTTTATAAACCTTAAGAATTAATAAAAAATCTGATATTTTGCATATGAATGCATTGTAATGTTTACTGATAATCTGCCAAATTTTGTTTACACTTACTAATTTAAAAGTTATAGCATGAAAACTATAACAAGCACGAAATGGTTATGCGGTCGGTCCCAGGGACTGAGCCTATGCTGAAAGAGTTAAAAGAAAACAGATGTGAAAAGGTTAACAGTTAAAATTATGAAGATAAAAAGACAGTAAATGTAGCAAAATGATGCATTCAAAGAAAAATAAGATATTAATAATTTTATTCCATATTTTCATTTCACTTTACACAGATGATTTTCGATAGTGTTAAAGTAGAGAAAATAACTGATAAAATATAATTTTACTGAAAAAGGTTATGCAAATGAAATATGAAAACTGTAAGATGAAGGAGCTGTTAACCATGATGATGAAACTAGATCTAGAAAGTTCATGAAAGTAGTCTTAGAATCTAGGAACTCCTGTACTTAGAAAAGTGAGAGTTCAGTATAAATACAAGAATCGCTGATCAAGTCACGGAGAATTATAGTTCTGTCAGCTAATCAGTAAGTTCGATGATGAGGAACCCACTTTGAGACTAATAATGCTTGGAGATGGCTTGAATGGGTAATGAAGAAAAACTTTAATATAAGTTTAACATAACAGCAAATGTACAACGTTTCAACAAATAATGTTTTGTTTTAAAGAATTCTCAAACAAGACTATTAATATAGTCAACCAATCCCGTAAATGGAAAAGTAACCTCACAAGTAATGAGATCAAATCCATTTATAATCTGAAAAAAGACAATGACATTAAAATTCTAAAAGCTGATAAAGGCAACACCACTGTCATCATGAACAACTCAGAATACATTGACAAAATGAACGATATCCTTTCTGATAAAAAGAAATTCAAAGCCATCTCAAACAACCCAACAAACACACACAAAAAACAACTGAACAGAACTTTATTACAAATAAAAAAAGAGAATTTAATTACTGATAATCTTTATTTTTATTTATGTAAAACTGATTCACGCACACCATAACTCTATGGCATTCCTAAACCAAACAAACAGGACTGCCCCCTACAACCTATACTGTCCACATATGATTTCTTCAACTACAATCTTGGCAAATACATAGCCTGGGCTCTCACACAATATGTAATATCTGCAGGTTCAGTTTTTAAAGATGCCTTTAATTTCAAAGACACACTAGACCAACTAAATTCTAAAGTCTTAATGGCTAGTTTTGATGTCGTGTCACTCTTCACCGAAGTCCCCGCCAATGAAGCTTGCACTATTGCAATCGACCTCTACATTAATAACCCCAACAAGTTAATGCACATCCCCAGCACACTTTTTGCTTCTCTCTTAGAATTTACAACAACTAAAACCAACTTCATTTTCAACAACGAACATTTCCTTCAAATAGATGGTTTAAATATGGGCAATCCTGTTTCACCCGTTCTTGCCAATATATTCATGACCCAGATCGAAACACAAGCCATACATTCTGGGCTTCACCCCCCACTATACTGGCACAGATATGTCAATGACACTTTTGCTGGTTTCACTTCTACAGAACACACACTAACTCCATTCATCCCAACATCAAATTTACCATAGAACACAAAAACAAATAGTTATCTTTTCTTAACCTCAACATTATTAGATTGGACACACAGTTTAAAACCAAAATTCACTGTAAGAACACACACTGGCCTCTACATCCCCTGGAATTCCACTCATGACATCATACAAAAATTCAATACACTGAAAAACCTTATAAACACAGCCACAAGACTCTGTTCAACGGACTATATAGATGAAGTAATCAACCACATAAAGCATTCCTTCATTCACACCAACAAATTTCCACCAGCTATTGTTGAAAACTATCCAACATTCACCACAACAAAACTCAACTCACGAACAAAATTGATACTAACAAACCCAACAATAGAACATTACACTTCAGTTTACCTTTTGTTCCTGAAACCAGCTCAAGAATAATCCACACTTGGACTAAACTAGCCATTAAACACAAAATTTCCTGTCAACGTCAAATTCTCTCAAAAAACCGGCCCTAAATTAAAATTTTTACCATACAAAAATTATTTAGGATCACACAATACAAACATCATTTACAAAATAACATGCAATAACTGCCCAGAATTCTACATCAAAGAAAGAGGAAGAAAATTGAAAACCAGATTCACAGAACACAATAAAAAACTGTCCCATGTTTTCCCCTTTTGCAACTCAAAAGACCATAGTATATCTATTAAAAATACAGTAATTTTAAATAAAGAACCAAACGAACCAAACGAAAGATCAAGAAATCCATCTTAATTGAACAAAACAACCCTACTCTAAATCAACACCCTGGGGTTCCAAGATATCTCTTTTTCTTCATTACCCATTCAAGCCATCTCCAAACATTATTAATCAGTAAGTTATTCAGGTTTGTTATCAGTCAAGGAAATTTATGTTAAGTGTTATCAGTGTATCAGGTTTACACTAGTTTTAAAGTTTATGTTGAAAACTTTACTTACAAAATTGGGCCTACAAGTGAAATTGGCTGAAGTAAACTTTTACTGAGGAAATTAATTAGTTATTATTATGTGGACTGGATCTCGTATTACTTTTATCAAATAATCCAAACGAACCTATCTACTCATGAAAAGAGCACATTACAACAGTATTTTTTATTCTGAACATGAAAATCACCTTGCATTCAAGATTGACTCAATAAAGGTTTTAGAAATTCAGAGACAAATATTTAGTAGAAATATTTTATTAAAATTCAGATTTTTTTGTGTATGTTTACTAAAAGCTTGTCAGATTTTGTGCAGATACGTGTAGTAAATTCAAAATTGCAATAAACAATACAGATTAATTTACCTATCTAAAAGTTTTAAAAACAATAAACCGTGTTAAACATCAGTAACAAAAACGTATGTATAGAATTATTACTTTTCATATTTAGTGAAAAATTTTCGTTGTAAATATATTACAATTTCAACACATTTCTTAAGCCAGTTTCTTTTGAAGATTTCTGTTAACTGTGAACCTAATCAGATTAATCTTAACCTAACACCTTAGTGAACAGAGTTCAGTCTTTTGTAGGCCTATCCTGTAAATCAAATTCGTTAAGTGAAGTACATTCATAATTTGTTCTACCTGTGTAAATTTCTGTATCTTTAACAAAAATCTTTGGTTAGGTTTCAAATATTTTAATGATGGTTAAAAACAAAAAAACAACTGGAAATTCAACATGAATGATTAGGCAACTGATATTTTTTGTCCAATTTATTTCTATCAGTTAACCCTAATACATCATTCTCAGAATTCACTGGTCACTGAAACTAAAAATCTTCTGTTTTTTTGAAAACGAAAACCCCATTTGACAAAGCAACACCCCTCGTAAACACATTTTATATTCAAAGTAAATGACATATGAAGAAACAAATTAAGTCAATGAATACAAAAAACGTACATTTTTCTATTTTATTTAATACTAAGATTAACTGATAGCTGTAAAATCCAACAACAACTTATTATGCTTTAAAATATCCTACCTTATTCAGGAAACCTTTTAGAACTGATTGCGCCTTAACAGAAATTGAACGAGGAATACGGATGGTTTTTTCCAAGATCACTGGAAAGAGATGAAAGAAAATATCTATAGCTCATAGTTTGCTTTCATAAATCTGCCATGACAATGTTAGTTAACAATCTTGTGCAAATCAGTCAGTTCACAGTCACTTTTAATAGAAATTATATAACAGTGGTGTTAAGCAAACTTAACATTAATAAAGGCAGAATCAGCTTTAAAGAACAACATATATTAGTTTGTTCTTAGTCAAGAGCCTGTCCTTATAACATCAGTTCAAGACATTTTCAGAGAAAAGTTCACTTATAACAGTGAGTCTGTCTTGGTAATACTTCATTAAAATCTAATTATAAGACAAATGGTGCTTATATAATCCTTTGAAGAAAATAGAGATTTCAAAATAATTAGTCCCTACACAGGCAATCTTTATGCACTAGAAAAAATAAAGAATTACAAGGAAATGTAAAATTCAGAACAACACAAACATACTTTACAGACATTTATCCAGTGCAACATTAATTATTGTTAGACATTAACTGGGCTTATCTGTTTTGTCAGTTGTATCATAAATATAACAAAATTTCATCATACCTTGGAACAAGAAATCTTCAGTATTCTGATCAGGATTTTCTGCCGCACCCACTATGTCAAAAGGTGATCTTCCAGCTAACATCTCGTACAACAAAACTCCAAGTGCCCACCAGTCTACACTGAAATCTATACAGGACATCAATTTTTATCTTTTTTAACAAACATTTACTTGCTAGGGACAAGTATTGAAACCCAGATGTGAAATTCTGTTTATTAACCCAATTAAAATAACAGTTTGATGAAATAAAACCTAAGAAAATTATCTGTATCATTAATACAAACATTTTTTTATAGTTTTCTAATGGCATACTTTGTAAAGTATACAATCAAAAGTCCTGATTAAGAACTCTTAGAAAAATAAGCAAATGAACAGCACAAAAAAATCAAAATCTAATGGTTTAACCAGACTATGTAATAAAAATCTACAGAATTAGCAAGCTGCTAAAGGAGACATAATTAAATGCCAAGCACACACTTACTATAGGATTTTAATCACACGTTCCTTACGGCATGAAGAAAGTTAACCCGTCACTAGTTACCATAGGATACAAGTTGCCCATAATTCACATCCCTTATGATAGGCAAGAGGATTACGTTTGCAAATTTGAAAGTTATCCTACAATTAAAATTGACCAAGAAAACGTGCACTGTATTTCATGGTGAATAAAGAATTAAACTAACGGATTAACATAGAAATATACTTACCTAAAATGAAGATAATATTAAATCATCAAACTAGTAAGCTATGATATGACCTTAGTCACGTAATAAAAGAGACTACACTATAAATTAAAAAAGCAATTTTTGATTTCAACAGGTGCTTTTGTCCAACCGGGAAATGATTTAAGTCAGTGATTCTGAATGTGGGGCGCACTCCCCACAGGGGGGGCAATTGGAAAACTAAATTTTATATTATATTATACCTTTTCAACACCAAATTTGTTTTTATATTATGGAGGCATCAAATTTTTTTGAGGTGTCGAGGTGGGGCAATGTGCAAAAAAGGTTAAGAACCACTGATTTAAGTGATAAAACAAACTTAACACATATTTCTCTTGTTTTATGAGTTGATACAAACGATTTTGAGTTATAAGTAATATATATTTCTAGTTCATGTTCATCCTAACGAACAAAGAAAGACATAAGAATAATTTCCATCTAATATACAATCTAATATAAAAAAAATTATTTAAATATATCTATACCATAGTCTTCTCCTCTTAGAATTTCAGGAGCTATGTAGTTGGGTGTTCCACAGAATGTATTTGTAGTGTCTCCTGATCTGATTCCTTCCTGATAAAATATATACATAGTTCATTTTGTTAACTGGAAGAATTAATATATAGTAGAATTTCTGTTTCCCGTAAAATTTCAATTTTCACACATATAGGGTTAACAGAAATCAAAGGCATTTGGTGAAAGTTGTGTGTTATACCTTTAACCATGAATTACAAAGAATACAAAATGTAACAACCGTCATATTTACAATTTAATCAATCACTGTAACATAAACAAAACTGCCGTGACACTACAGACATTTTGTCATTTGATTAGAAATGTAATGAAAATACCCTAACATGGTAATTTCATTATAAACATTGGGAAAATGCCCAGTCACTGAGACATATTGTGAAAATACCCAAACAGTCATTTCATTAGACATGTTGTAAAAATGTCTAAGCATTATTGTTTCATTAGAAATGCTGTAAAATACCCAAACATTGTCACTTAAGAGTTTACAGGGTACAAAGTCTTTGTCTCACAACACTCAAATTTCTCTACCGAATAACAAATACCAACGAAAAGCTTCAGAATACTTGTATTTTGTCTCAAATTTCTCTACCGAATAACAAATACCAACGAAAAGCTTCAGAATA